AGGGAAAAACAAAAAAACATATATACATACAATAATGCTTTATACAAGAGCACATATTTCAATATGTGGGTGATTTTTTTTATTTACACTGGTCTATTATATACAATATATATACACTTATTTTTGTTAATATTACACATATTACAAACATATATATATATAATATATTTCTAGATGGAATGAGAAACAGTGAATAAGGTGGTCAGTGAACAAAGGATAGCCTTGGTCAGGGTTTAAATTGTTAACCCTTTATGTATAACACAATAACATAATAAGAGTGGTGGTTAAGGTAGATTTTCCTAAACAAATAATATTTTCTCAAGAGCCAAAGTATCTTCTATAACTGTTTTTATGCAAGTAAAACATAAATAAATCAGACACACTCAAAACATTTTTTCTCAAGGTGAAAATGTATGTTGCTCCAAACTGTAGAGCCAAGGTGATGATGAAAACTGTTGCCATAGTTGGTAGAAGTGTGTTTTACTCACATTATGTAAGTTTTGTTTGTACCTTTCACTTTTAAGAACTCTCTCCAAGTTAAATTCTTGGAGGTACTGGATGAGCGGCCCCAGACAGCAGACAACAGCGCTCTCCAAGGATGCCACGCTCGACAGGGACTGAGAACCTACGGGACCAAAACAGAGTCATGGCTCATGAGAACCGTTGTCAGACTTAAGAGATACTGTACATCAGCGCTGGCGTTGAGGGAGCACATCAGACACTGCAGGTTCTGTGATAAAAGGAGTCTGTGAAGCAAACAAACCTTTCGACTTGTTGCTGTAAAACTCAGTGATCGTGCTCATTGCAGAGGCAAACTCAAACTGATCCGGGTCCCTCTTTTCCACTCGGACTCGGTCGTCGGCATGAGCACTAGAGGGAAACAGCACAACCACCATTGATGACAGTGACTTCTGATGTCTGTGACACTACGTGGGGAGTGGGGGAAGACGGGTGAGGGGGGCTGAAGGAAACACAACTAAAATCTCATTGTTTCTTTTCTAATGAAAAGAATAAGACACATCAGATGTTTCATTCGTCCTGTTGTAAAAGCACGACTCCACGGATACAGAAACACAGGCAGAACTCAGCCACATACACAGTCCCCCTGCATCCCCCCTTCCCGACCCCCCCATCACATCTTCGTATTGTTCTATTCACTCTCTGAGCTTTGCTGCTTTCAAGGACTCGGTTGCCGTGTCTGAACTGTTGCCAGGGCAACCAAGGCAAGCACGTGGCTGCGAACACTGTTCTCAAACATTTCCTGTCTTCCGTATTCCTAAAACACAGACAAACACACAACATTTCAGAGTCATGAGGACACTCACCGTTAAAAGGCCTCACCTGGCCCTTCACCCTGGAGTTAGCATGACAAATAAAGGTCTCACAGAACCTGGTTTCTTTCCATAATCCCTTATTTTGTATTATTATCTGCAGAAAAGGTCTCTCTCTCTCTCTCGCTCTCATTCACTCAGACACACACAGAGGAACATAAAACTGTGATCAATAGACCACATATTGTGGTTGCAGCAAAACCACAGCCATTAATCATTTTAACAGTCAATTTAATCATAATATGAGGATTGCGAGAACATGGATATCTGCAGATATTGATTCTGAGAGAAAGAGAAAAAGAAAGAGAGAGAAAGGGAGGGAGAGAAAGAAAGAGAGAGAGAGGGGGAGAGATAAAGAAAGAGAGGGAGAGGGAGAAAGAGAGAGAGAGAAGAAAGGGGGAGAGAGAAACAAAGAGAGAGAAAGAGAGGGAGAGAGATCAAGAGAGAAAGAGAGGGAGAGAGAGAAAGAGAGAGAGAGAAAGAAAGACAGGGAGAGGGAGAAAGAGATAGATAGAGGGGGGGAGGGGGGGGAGAAAGAGAGAGAGAGAGAAAGCCAGAAAGAGAAAGAGAGAGAAAGCGAGAGATAAAGACAGAAAGAGAGAAAGGGAGAGAGAGAAAGAGAGAAAGAGAGTGAGAGAGATAAAGAGAGTGATAAAGAGAGAGAAAGAGGGAGAGAGACAGAGTGAGAGAGAAAGGGAGAGAGAGAGTGAGAGAGATAGAAAAAAAGAGAGAGAAAGAGAGGGAGAGAAATAAAGAGATAGAGAGAGAAAGACAGTGAGAGAGATAAAGAGAGAAAGAGAGTGAGACAGAGAAAGAGAGTGAGAGAAAGAGAGAGAGAGGGGGGGGGGAGAGGGAGAGAGATAAAGAGAGAGAGAGGGAAAGAAAGAAAGAAAGAGAAAAAAGGGAGAGAGAGAAAGAGAGAAAGAGAGAGAAAGAGATTGAGAGAGATAAAGAGAGAAAAAGATGAGAGACATAAAGAGAGAAAGAGATGAGAGATATAAAGAGAGAAAGAGAGAGAAAGGGAGAGAAAGAAAGAAATAGAGAGAAAGAGAGAAAGAGAGAGATAGAAAGAGAATGAGAGATAAAGAGAAAGAGAGAGAGATACAGAAAGTGGGAGAGATAAAGAGTGAAGAGATAAAGAGAGAAAAGGAGAGAGAAAAAGGGAGAGAGAGAAAGAAAGAGAGAGAGAGAGAGAGAGAGAGAAAGAGAGAGAGAAAGAGAGATAAAGACAGAAAAAGAGAAAGGGAGAGGGAGAAAGAGAGTGAGAGAGATAAGGAGATAGAGTGAGAGAGATAAAGAGAGAGAGAGAGAGAAAGGGAGAGAGAGAAAAAGAGAGCGAGAGGGGGGGGAGAAAGAGAGAGAGAGAGAAAGCCAGAAAGAGAAAGAGAGAGAAAGCGAGAGATAAAGACAGAAAGAGAGAAAGGGAGAGAGAGAAAGAGAGAGATAAAAACAAAAAGAGAGAAAGGGAGAGAGAGAGAGAGAGAGAGATAAAAAGAGAAAGAGGGGACAGAAAGAGAGAAAGGGAGAGAGGGGAAAGAGAGTGAGAGAGAGAAAGATAAAGAGAGTGAAAGAGAGAGAGAGAGGGAGAGAGAGAGAGAAAGTGGTAGTGTTTTCTACAAATCCTGGCTCGAGAATCAAGACAGTGGTTTATGAAGGCTGGTGTCAGGGTTTACAAGCCTTAGTTCAACAGTTGTATCATGGTATATAAAACCTAGAGATAACTTTGAGTTGGATATACTGCGTATCCAACCTTAACTATATACTTTGGCGCACTGGAAAAGGTTTGAGATCCTGAAAATATCGATAATTAAATCTTATAATGAAGGCAAGAATGTCAGCAAATCAAAGTGTCATCAGGTTGTTAGAGAAGACCTCCATGGTTACACATGGTTGAAATAACCCATTTCAACCCATTCAAATTCAGTCTACAGTTATAACAAGAATAGCTTTGCAGAAGTGTGTGCGCCTTTCTTACAGTGGTGAGGCCAAAGGTCATGGCAGGAGATGAAACAGAGATAAGAAACTGATCACATGGCTGCAGGGTGGACACAAACCTCATTACAGTTACAAACATTACAGTTCCCTGTTTCTACTCTATGGGTGAACCTTAAGACATTGACCTAAAAATCTATGTATACATTAGTGAGGAGGTGTTTTCTGAATTGCCATTATCCTCTTCTCTGCTCTGCTCCACTCATGACACTGGGGTGTGAATATGCTCCACATCTCTCAGGGACTCATTACCTGCTGCCCTACCAACACACAGTCCAACCCATTGCCTTGGGTCGTTCCCACGAGGCGAGAAACAGCAGGTGTTCACACATGCTAAATATATTCACCAGCACATCATTTAAAAATTCAAATTCACACAGCCACAGTATTTGAAAAAGTCAAAGCTTTGAACCAGAACATCTGTAGTTTTGAATCACTCCTCTCTTCCGTGCGTATTTCTTCTGCTTGCGATGAGTCACAACCGAGAACAGAAACTTCACACCTCGTAAATAGTCTAGGAAGGACGCCACACTAGTGAAACCAGCTTTGCTCCTACAAGTATTGTGTCTGTCTGTCTTTGTCTTATAGAGCTGACATTTGAGGAGATTCTAGTGTCTGATAGTCACACCGCTAACCGGCAAAACTCTTCCTCCTCTGTAATCGTGCTGGCCTTTGAATTAATCTCTGTCCACTGTAATTACAGAACACAAAAACAGAGGACAAGGAAGCTGAGGGAGCAACGAGGACAACAACAGACAGAGAGAAAAGAAAGAAAATGTCTCTTTAAATCACAAAAAAAGACAACTGTGTGCGGTCTAGGAGGTGAAAGCAACAGGAAGCCTTTCCATTTATCCAGCCATCACTTTCTAATCTAATCCAATCGGATCCCTCCCACTCTCTCATTTTATTTTCACTGCATAATGCAATCACAGGGCAGCCTCCAGAGGAACTCGTTCCCTATGGAGGGACCATGCTGGGTGCAGACCGCCGTCACTGACTGGCACGGCGGAAAGCAACAGGTGTCTACAACAGCAGCCCAGCATGGAGGCCGGCTGGTCACACTTAGTACACACTCGCACACTTCAGATGGACATTTATTTAGAGAATAGTAGTAAAAATAAGTGCAGAATCACTGTGAGGACTATTTAACATTATACATTTAATTATGTAATATAACACAAATACTTTAATTGTTGTAATTTTTCTGTAAACCTAATTTATCATTAACTAAGGAAGTACAATTACAAATTAATTAAATTTCTCAATAATGGCTCAAAAATTTAAAATAAAATTTAAAATTGTCCTTCATTTGCATTTGCCTACTTCCCCATATTTTTGTGCACTCTTAAGGGGGCCACCCCCTCCACTTTGGCAACCACTAACATAGTGGAAGAAGATCACTATGCTTTGGTTTTCTCCAGGTGTACTCTGGGGTGTTCCTGTTTTCTTCATTCACAGTACCATACATGCAGACTGTTGGTATGGTTAATTGGGCACCACTGACTATCCATATGCATGAATGTGTGTGTGTGTGTTAGTTGGATGTCTCTCTAGGCAGCCCGGCAATGACTTGAGAACGAGCCAGGGTGTGCCCACCTTCACCCACTGACTGCTGGCATTGGCTCATAATTTCAACAGAAAAACATACATTTACCAATTCACTAGTTCAATACAGCTGATGAACTTTGACATGAATGTCAAGGCCTGTTGGGCCAACTCACCTATAACCTTTCCATAATTGCATTGATTTTCTTCTCTAGCCTGGGTCTCGACATCCTCTCACAGAGCACTGTTTACCTTGCAATGACCTTAACACGATCACTTCAAAACACCAAAACAAAACATCCGCTCCAGTGCCACGGCAAATGCTGTCCAGAAATAAATTGGTTTTTACTGCCCCTTAGTGGCTTCTTGGCAAATTACCTGTCATTGCTGATGCTGTGTAGAAATCTGTGTGTTTCTTCTGAGAGGTTAGAAGGAACCAGGATCTCCACCGGGTTGATTTTCAGGACCCGGGCTTCCAGTTCGGAGCGAGAGTGACCGTCCACGAAACTGTCCACCAACACATCGCCTGTGCTGGGCTGAACTGCCTAAATAAACAAACACAAGCAAGAGGATCACTGACCAGTATTCTTCTATCCCAAGGGTTCCCAAAAGGTAGATGGGGATCTACCAGTAGAAGGGAGTGCTGGTAGATCTGGACAATTACATTAAAAAAAACAAAAAAAATAAATAAAAAAGATAGATTTAATTCTAAGTGGCGCTTTGGCCCAGAGGCAATGTCTCTGTCATTGGGTTGGTCAAGATCGAATCCTGGTTAGGGCGGTTGGTACCTTCCAGTGGACTCACCACCTGCAGGAAGGTTCAGGGGGGTTGGTACGGTGCAGTGTGATTTAGGTGGCTTCTGCTGCCCCCACAACCCGGTAACGGATAAGCGAGTGAAAATGGATGGATGGATGGATTTAATTCTATTTTAAGATGCTAATCACTAGGGCTAAAGTAAGGACCATAGAAGTATTGAGTCAGACGATATTGTGCCATAGAACTACAGCCATTTAATCAAAGTAGTAAATATATATTTATAGTTTTAAATGTAGGTAGATCACTCTACCCCGGTCATTTGAAAATAGCTCCCAAGCCAAAAAAGTGTGGACACCCCTGTTCTATCCTAAGTTAAAGGAACAGCAGAGGTGACAGAACAGCAGGAGCTAATAGGAACTGGAATGACCTGCTGCATTAAAAAAAAACCTCTGCAGGAACACATTATGTCTAATTGTCTAAATGTAATGTTCCTCTAAAACTCACCACCAGTCCCACACTCAGCTCCTTCTTCAGTTTATTCCACTTTTCACTGATACACAGTAAAAAGCTGTCTGGAGAGTCTGTCACCACATCATCAGTAGTTCCTTCATTCCCATCTACCAGTCTGCAGACTGGGTTTACATCTAAAAACAACACAAGTCATAGTTCATGGACACATGTGATGACACAAGGTGAGATATATGTACTGTAATGTGTTTAAAATAAAATGTGAGATACCTTCTCCCACCAGAGTGGACTTGGTGTACAGACCAGTCAGCTTCCGACTAAACAGCGTGTTTTTCCCAGCGCCTGAAGCTTTGATTGCAGATGTCTCTGTCTGCTTTACAACGCCGACCTAGAAAAAGGGAGACAATACCATGCCAACCATAACATTCTCATTATTATTTCATATAAAACCTAAGAGTATAAATATGACTGTTAAAGCTATGGTGACCTTCCTTCGGTTTATCTGTCTAGCTCTGTGTGACATACTCAGGTGTGACGTATATATTTTAAAGATTTATTATTTCACTTCATCATATTGTTTGTTATTTTCACACTGACAGCCGCTATAGGGCACTCCAGCTGCCTGGTGCCACATACCCTGCAGCAACTTATATATGTTTTTCCTTCTTCATTATGCTTTTTTTAGCTGTTGCAACTTATACTCCAGAGTGACTTATTCACACATTCTGTGTTTATAATTCTATTACAGATATATAAGACATCAAGTCTATACAAACACTCTGTGATATTCATTCAGTGTCCTACCTTGTGTCCATGGGACACCAAGCGTCTGAGATGAACAAACAGTCTGTGTGTGGGGATGCTGCATGTCATGAAGTTATGATCCTGGTGACATGTGATATTGAGCTCCTTTGCAGCGATCTGTTCTCACAAAAATGACAGGTTGGGTCATTGCTTACATTACACTACTTACTTAAGCTTTTATAAGCAGTTAAAACATGAGCTTGTCTTCACGAGTGGACAGCTCCAGCTTTTTCAGTTACCGTAGTCAATTTGTGCATAGTATGAAAGAAATAACTGAAAATATTTATTAATTGGCTCAAAGCTTTACACGTCATTACATCGTGTTTGCCATCCTTCTGATGAGTAGTTTGTTACAGTGGGCTACAACAAGAGAAGATCAGTACCAATAATGGAGATTAAAAAATAGAAAAAAGAGAATAACTCTTTTTTTTTAAATGTCAAAGGCTAATACAAAACAGAAATGTTAAAAGATACTTTAGGATGCATGTCAACGCAGCTAAAGACTACATGAAAATTGAAAAGGGCCCAACTTCTACATCATACACCCTGGTCTAATCACTACAAGTAGTACTGTAGTTATAAATATACATGAATAAATAACTACGTTATCTATTAGTAGAACCTAATCACAGTAAGCAAATAATATTAATAAAAAATAATTTGTAATATGTGGGTACATGCATAATACCCTTTGCTCTCACCTCTGCATCTTCCCCAAAGAACCTGTACTTGTAACCACACTCCACAGCCAACAGGGCATCTTTGTGTTGCTTTTTCAGCTCCATGACCTGCTGCTCCAGGGGGGTGTATGTGCTTTTAGAGCCCCTGGAGGAGACACCTGGAGGCAACTCATATGAAGCTCTTGTTTCTGAAGTATTTTCTTTCTCTACTCCTGTGTCTGATTTTGCAAACTGAGAAAAGAGGAAAACCTGCAGAAAAAGAAAAAAAAAAAACGTCTCTATGTCCATCCTTTCCAAAGAGAAGAGTTCAAACAAGGTCCATGGCAGCTCCAAGGCAGCTCCAAGGCAGCTTCAAGGCAGCTTCAAGGCAGCTTCAAGGCATCTTCAAGGCAGCATAATTGTAATTCTACATTTGTGAATGGTCAACGTGTAGTTTCATTACCTGTTTCTTAACAGTGAGTTCAGAATTTTCCTCTCCTTCCTTATTTCCATCCTCCTCTTCATCTTCACGCTTTTCCTCTGACTTTTTCAAATCCTGAAGTTGTTGATCCAACTCATTTACAGTAGGCCGAGCGCTGTTACTTCTGTTACAGATGTTACTACTCGAACCATCAGTCTCCTCTTCCACCATTTGAGCGTCGCCATGTTTGGCCAAGGGCTCAGCGCTGCAAGTGAAGCCCTTTAACCTCTCCAAGGTGGAGGAGCAGACGCCACGTATTTTTTGGCTCAATGTGAGTGTAGTCTCTGAAGATAGAAACCAAAATTAGGAGTGGAGAAATGGACATTTACATTTAACTGCTAAGTGTTAGTATAAAGTTTTCATTTTTTATATTAAAAACTTCTAATTTATGTGGCAAAAACAGAGGAAAGTGTCTTCCGTTTATAATAATAATAATAAGAAGAAGAAACTCACATGCATTTGGATTAAATCAGAATAGTTACACCGAACCTTCCTTCACAATAATCCCAAATACATTTTTTTTATTTGTAAGTCCGTGCATTAACTTTAATTTATCTGAAATTCATTAGCTGAACCTTATCTTGCAATGCATACTTTCATTCTAACTTATCAGGAGTCTGAGAAACAAGGCTAAATTAACATTAACATTAAGACGAAGCCTTAGTCCACGTCAAGACGTGTTAAAAAAAAGTTAAAATGTCACATATAGCGCAGAAATACCAGACATGTGACGCAGACAGACATTTTCTTACCTTTAATGTCTTGACAGGTTCTTGGCTCACTTATTAAATCTTTGTCCTGCTGCTGGTCTGGTGGAGAACGCCTTGCTCGTTTCTTCGGTCGCCCCTGATCTTCATCAGGATTATGTTTCTGCTGCAGGAGGAGGTTTAGTACTCATTATGTGCAAGTACATAGATATGTTTATATGAGCATGTAGGTGGATGTGTTCGTGTGTGCACTTGAAAGTATCCCAACAACTAACCTTGCTCCTCGGCAGCTGTAGTTGAGCAGCCTTCTTGTTAATTCCATTTAGACTGGTAAAGTACTCGCTGACGGAGGTCTGCCGGCTGCAGCTCTTCTTTAATGACTTCGGCATGTTAGCTTTAAAAATATGTCACTTGGCTGAACGGGCTTCGGGTGGTTTTATTGCTGGACTTCAGCTGCAGGCTGGTTGTTTAAAAAACAATATATGCGCGCAGTGAGCACGCCGGCGCGTAAATAACGAAATAGTTTCCGGTTCAACGCTGTGAAAATAAAATAAAATGAACCCCACCGGTCACTGTAATACCATGACAAAAATGTTACACTGTATACTGTAAATAAATACATAAGTATATAAGTAATGTGTGTTAAGGGTTGCTGTTGCAGTTTTATGTTTTACGACGCCAAACCAAACCCGGAAGTCGACCAAGTAAATCGCTCGGTAGTAATACTTCAACGTTGAAAAATCAGGATAGTTTTCAGCGTGTTACAATGCAAGTAAATATTTTCGTTGCTAATCTAATATAATTTAATAACTCTACAAGTTATAATCTAATAACTTGTATCAGGTCTTCTCTAAAAGTGTGCCATGTCAATTTGGTGAACGACCATTAAATTGACAGAAAAAGAGACACTAAAAAGACGGCAGTTGCGATCACACGAGCGATTACCGTATGGATTTGACCTTCCAACTGGCAGAAATGAAATAGCCACTTAATTCCCAGAACACTGTTTCCCAAAAGCGTTATCGTGTATATATCGAGAATAACATAAATTGTTCTAAATGTGTTAGTAAGGTGAAGATTCTGTAGTTAAAAAGAAAATCTGTCAGGTGTATGTTTTATGTGGTATAATATTTTGATATGCTACAGTTCCTCGTTAGTATAGTGGTGAGTATCCCCGCCTGTCACGCGGGAGACCGGGGTTCAATTCCCCGACGGGGAGGTGTATTTTCTTTAATTGACCTTTGGGATCAATGAAGTATCTATTTACATGATATCCAGAATACTATGTATTATTAGAACAAGAACTGTTACTACAATTTTTTTAAATAACAATACACTGCTAACAATACCTCATACACTTAATACCAAATTATGTCAAACTTAATACAGTCCCCCTTCAAGGGCCGGTTCTAAATGGAAGACTGTATAGATCAGGGGTCCCCAACCCCCGGTCCACAGACCAGTACCAGTCAATAGGTAATTTGGTACCGGGCGACAGTGGGACACAGTGAAAAAATTTACTTAATTTTTTCTAATTTACTTCATTTAAAGAAAATCTAGTCATATACATTTACTTTTTTTATTTAAGGATAATCTGACAATATTTTAAAATAAAAGTCATTCAGACTCTGATAGAATAGAGTCTAAAAGTCCTTCAATGCACAGCACCCTGGTACATGTCTCTAGTAACGGGTGGTACTGGCTGACCAGTCCTTGGAACTAAAAAACTACTCCATAACAGACTAAAACAAGTTTCTGCAATTGATTATTATTTATTCAAACTATTTCTTTACTTATTCGTAGGTTAAGAAACACTGTTGCATGGACTTTACTAAATGCTTTTTAAGCTCCCGCGGGCCACACAAAATGACTTGGCGGGCCGCATTTGGCCCTTGGGCCTTGAGTTTGACATGTATGCCGCAGGGTTGCCCAAACTGTTCCATGAAAGGCCGCTGTGACTGCAGGTTTTTGTTCCAACCAAGCAGTAGCACACATAAGTTGACAGGTTTAATCAACTGGTCTCAGTCTTCAGACAGCTGATTGGTCAAACTATGTGCTCTTAGTTGGTTGGAACAAAAACCTGCAGCCACACGGCCCCTGCGGGGATGTATTTTCTTTAAAGTTATAAAGCAGGTTGTCAGTTGTAGTTAGAGCCAATCATCATCTATAAACTGTCAAAGCAGAGTCTGAAAATAATCTGTACTTACATTCTATAATTATACTGTATGTACAGTAGTATATGCATACGTAAAAAAAATGCAAACGCCAAACACAAATGTCATTGTTGTCAGGATTTCAACAACTGACTGAAAATAAAAGTATAGTTGTCGGGTTGTTGCATGAAGCATGAATATTTTTAACCCAAGTATTTGGGAAAATATTGAGCTCAACTACGCAGTGGATCATCCTGTCACATATGCAATCTTTGGCAGAGACTGCTCGCCGGTGAGAGCAGTGGGCGTGTTCAGATCACTTTCTGACCAATTTCCAGGAAGTATGTATTTTGGGGTTTTTCTTTTTTTTGTCTTTTTTTGACATGGAGAGAAAAGTTGTTGTCATCCGAGCGTCTTTGCTTTGATAAGAAACGGGTCAGTTGCAGACTTGTTTCACTGGCTGCAATGGTGGACTATATGGATAGGTCCACGAAGATCAACTTGTTGAAGGAGGGAGTGGTGAAGAAACTATGTGAGGTGTTGGACAAATCCACCGACAGAGGATGGCGAAAGCTGGGAGAGATTGTGGGCAAAGAGAAACGCCTTAAAGTCAGGTGGGTTTAAAAGTGATCTGAAATGAAAAAAAAAAAAAAAAAAATGAAATCACTGTGATGTGACAGTGAAATCACCGTGACTCCAGATGTAACGAACTACTCGTCAGAAATAAATTAGTATATCGGAGGTTTTACTATGTGCGTAAAGTTTTTCGTGATTCGACGTATTATGTTGTTTTGGAGATAAATAGAAAACTAGCAAATGACTTCAAGAGGATAATTATATTAGCCAATGTGACGTCAGCAAATATGCAAGTAAACATAAAAAAGTTATGTATATATTTACAATTTAACCTATAGTTTTTTTCTTTAAACGTGCTAAATGTTAGATGAGTCAGAAAGTTGTACGTAAATGTGTTCTAAAATCTCAGCTTTTTAAGTTTCTGTGTAAATCAGTACGACCTTTATTTGTTGTAAACCTTGATAAAGAATCAGCTTCTGATCTATGTTCCTCGTGTTTTTACAGCTCTGACGACATAGAGATATGCTCTCTGAAGGTATTGGAGCTGGAGGGCAGCCCAAGTCGCATGCTGCTAAGGCTGATGGGAGAGCGAGGCTGCACCCTGGGTCACCTGATGGATTACCTCCAAACTCTGGCCAACCCTGACGCTGTGCAGTGCCTGAAACCATCACGTACAGTGAAACATTATTCTTTGTTTCTTTAGCATAACCTGTTCAATATGTGGATTAAGGTTATGATAAGTAGTATATGTATATGTACTTTGCTCATGACTTTATAACCATGGGTAATGATTTGGCTGTGACAGCATTGAAAAAGTGTGAATCACTACAAAATATTCTTAATGTTCAGCCCTGCAGATTGTCATCCAGCCACAATCTCTGGCTCTGATATCTGGACACAATCTGCGGCTCAGCTGCCACGCTGTTGGGAAATCTCCAGTACAGTACCAGTGGTTCAAGGGTAAAGAAGAGGTGAGGTGTCACTTTGAAACACGTTATAAAGGCAAAGCCTACTCTGAACATTGGCCAAATATCTCCAAGATGCTAGCATAGTGCACATCTTTATGAAAATAAGAATATGTTGCCAATATGTTTTTATATTTTCTGTGCAGTTTGATATTTATTTATTTATTTTGATCATTATTAGGACTTTGGGGCAGTAAACCATAATTTGATGGCTAGAGTGCAGCTGTCTAGATTCCCCATCCTTTACAGCTTGCGTAAAGAAACTAAGAGTAACATTTATGTCTTTTATAATTATAAAAATATAAATTGGGGTCAAGACGCAGGGGGAAATGAGCAGATAGACCTGAACAACTCAGGAGAGGACCTGTGTCCTGTTTGATTTCAAACAATCAAATGTGGACATTAAGAAACGCTGCAGTGGCAAATTGTGCATTTTGGACAACAGACAAACAGAATGAGATCAGAAAAATAAACAGCAGGTTGGTAAAAATGTAAAAAAAAATTATATACAAACAAATATATACAATTAGCAAAAACACTAAAAATAAAAGTTAAAATTAAAAGAGTCAGTTGTTGCACTAATAATAACCACAGCTGAGTTCTGATATCTATAAAAAAATTATATATATAT